CGGCGGCGCCGGCCTCAGTCAACGAGCTCTGTTGGTCGCCCACGGGCGGCGGGGCTGGTGGCCGGAGCCGGGCCTGAGGGGTTCCCGCTGTGGCCTGCTGGGCCCTCCCTATGGTTGCCCCACGCCATGGGCCCGGCAGGAGCTGTGGGGCAGGTGTCCCTCTCCCTTGGTGCCTCAGGGCCGCTGGGACCCCTGTGGGGGCTCCAACGGGGGCCGCCCTCCGTCGTTGTGGGGGCCACGAGCGGCCCAGCGGGAGGGAACGGCGGGAGGAATCCCTCCCCGGTCCCGGGAATCCCTTCGTGCCCTCGTGTAGCACGAAGGCCTGGTGCTGCGGGCTGGGGCTCCCCAGGGCCCCCCGTCCCTTGGGTGCTTCACCTCCTCAGCACGGCCGCGGCTCTCACAGGAGCAGCCATGGCCGATGAGCTCTGGGGCTTCTCCTTCTCTGCCAGGCCCTGGCCCTGCTGCCAGCCCTCCCAGCACAGAAACCCCCTGTCCGGGGCCGTGCTGCCCTGTGCTTGCCCCTCCGTGGCGGCTGTCCCTGAGGACGCGGGACACGGGATCGGGAGCCTCCTGGGGCGAGGCTGCTGCGCCTGCCCCTTTCCGCCCAGCCCCACCTTAGCTGGTTAAACAGGTTTGAAGTCCAGACGGCGGAGAGACGGTGGAAGCGTTTCGCAGGCTCCCAGCAGGGCTGCCGCCGCACGGCCCCCAGCCCCATGGCCCCCCGCCTCTCTCCAAGTAAGTCTCGCAGCGAGGGGAGCCAGGCGCCAGCTTCCTCCCGTGTCCCACGGGGTGATGAGGGAGCGGGGCTGGGAGAGGGGAGAGAGAGGGGTGCGAGGCCCAGGAAGCTGCTTCAGCCATGCTCCCTTGTGCAGACCTTAGACGAAGCCCCGTGCCACTCTGTGCCTCAGTTTCCCCATGCCTGCGGCCAGGCCAGGGCTCCTTCTGGGGGTGCAGGGATGAATGTGCCCAGAAGGGAGAGAGAGATTTTCATTGCAGGAGGCTCCCGTGCCCGCAGCCAGCAACACCTGGGACGGGCTAAGAGACGGGGATCCCCTGCTGAGAGGGAAAAATGTGAGATTTCGGCCTGGATCTCCTGCTCCCCCACAGCAAGCGGCACCCAGCAGCCTCCTGTGCCCGCCCCAGGTCGGTCTCAGCCACAAGAGGCAGCAAATCTGTCCCGTCCTGGCTTTAGCTGTGGTTCCTAGATGCGGCCTGCCTGGCTCTCCCCAGGTATCGGGGCTTGGCTGATGCTGGCACAGAGCCGCAGGTGGAGCCGGGCAGTGTCCAGCTCCCCCGAGTCACAGGGCTCACGCCCAGCCAGAAACCCCGGGACGTTTGGCCGGGTGGGGAAGCAATTCCCAGGCTGCCCCCGTTTTGCAGCCAGACCCGCGCACCCGGGGCTGATCAGGCGCCCAGCTCTGGGCAATGGTGCCCGCACGCATGGTGCCACATGCCCTGATCCCGCTGCCGTGGGCTGGGAGCACTGGCAGGGCGGGAGAGCATGGAGACGCTGGGCTCTGCTTTCCCCTAACAGCGGACGGGCGGGCAGGTGATGAGGACCCCGGGGGTGGCGGCTGCCGATTCGCATCCCGTGTTGCGACTGGGGCTGTGTGCACGACCCCAAACCTCATTTCTGATGGGTTTTTGTCTGTCTCCTTTCTCCTGGCGCAGGGTGAAGCGGAAGGGACGGGAACCTCGTCCCCTCCTGACACCCCAGAACACAGGAGCGTTTCTTGCCAGCCCCCAGCAGTACTGAGCCGGCCTCTCTCATGGCTGCCGCTGACCCCGTCCTGCCCCCGGAGGAGGTGGCTTTGCTGGAGCTGGGGAAGGTGGCCCCGGCCACCCCCCTGGACAAGGTGCCACCAGCCCCGGTTGAACACCCGGAGGACCCTGATGCCACCCTGCCGTGGGACCGGTGCCAGCACAGCGCCCGGGGCCAGCCGGAGCCCGTGGAGCCAAAGAGGCGCTCAAGTCCTGAAGGGGGCCGCGAAGACCCCGAGGAGGCTGCTGTCACCAGCCCCCCAGCCGAGGCCGAAGATGAGGAAGCCCCTGGGCTGCCCGTGATGGCGACCCATGTCTTTGTGCCCATCGACCCACAGTGCATTGAGCGGACACCCGGCAAGCAGAAGAAGGAACCCACCCCGTGGCCGCGGGAGGAGGGCAAGGGGGGCTACATCCCCCACAGCGACAGACCCGACAGCCTCCGCCAGAAGCAGGTCTTCCTTCCCATCAGCCCCTCGTGCTACAGGGACCCCCCGGGCTTCGAGGGGCGAGCGGCCAAGCCGCTGACCAAGGGGCCGCGGTGCCCATGCGCCAGGGACTGCGGCGCCGGCAACCTCAAAGCCGTGGCTTCGGTGGCGGGGGCCCTGCTCTTCTGCCCCTGCCTCATCTATGGCGCCTACGTCTTCCTGCCTTTTGATGCCCCGCTGCTGCCCACCGTCAGCGCCCGCCTGGTCTACACGCTGCGCTGCGCCGCCTTTGCCACATTCCCCATCGTTCTGGGTGAGCCCTGGGGTTGGCGTGCAAAGCCCCTCGCCCCCGTCGCTGGGCTGCGTTATCCCCGGGGCAGCGGGGGCTGTGGGGAGCGGTGAGCAAAGCCGGGGCTGAGCTCTTCGCGGCTCCATCGCTCCCACCAGGAGCCGCAGACTGAGTTTTTCCTACCCTCTTCCCACCCTGTCGCGTCTCTCGCTGCTCCTCCCCCAGCCCTCGGGCCCCAGCGCTGGTTTTCACTGGGCACCCGCTCAGCCCCTCTCTCTGCCCCCCAGGGATGATCGTCAGCGGCATCTCCCGCCTCTGCCTCTCCGCACTGGAGCCCTTCGGGGAGCTGCAGCGGGAGGTGGAGATCCACCGCACCTACGTCTCCCAGTCCATCCATCTCTTCATCCTCTACTTCTTCAACATGGCTGTGCTGGCCACCTACCTCCCCCAGGAGGCCCTCAAGCTCATCCCCCTGCTCACGGGGCTTTTTGCCATCTCCCGGTAAGTGACTCCTTTACTCTACCTGGGCTGCGGCAGCGCCCAGGGTGCAAACGGGGTCTGTCAGCGCTGCCAAACACCACGCCTCGGTGCAAACTCTGGCAGCGCCTTGCCCAGCCAATGACGGGCAGGAAAGCCGGCAGAGGGGAAGGGTTGCTCCATCCCTCATCCCGCAGCGGCCGTGCCTGGCAAACCCTTGCGGGGGTCAGAACCCCTGAGCGAAGCTGGGTGCCGGCCCCAAGGCATCGCCCTCGCTGATCCCGTGCCTCTCTGCCCTCTCCAGGTTGATTTACTGGCTGTCGTACGCCATCGGGCGCTCCTTCCGCGCCTTCGGCTTCAGCATGACCTTCCTGCCCCTCCTGGCCATGCTACTCTGGAACCTTTACAGCATGTTCATCCTGGAGCCCGAAAACCTCCTTGCTGTGGCAGCGCCGAAGCCCGAGGACGGCTCCAAGGACGGCGGAGCCAAACTCCGGTACTGGGGGTGAGGGAGGCCCCGGGGAGATGGGGTGCCTGGACCCCACGGTGCAGAGGGGCTGAGCCCTCCTCACTGCCCTGCCGGTGGAGGGGTGCGGGCAGATCTGGCTGGGCCCCTGCTCCCTGCCCAGACCCGGCAAGGTTTTGCTGGGTGCCCAGGGTTGATAGAGCTAAGCTGTAAAACCCTCTGCACTGGGAGCTGCCTGCAGGAGGGCCAACAGGGCCTGGAGCAAGACCCAGCGAAGCCCATTCCACGAGGATGGGTTGGGATGGGATTTGCCTCACCTCCCGCTGGAGCTGGCTTTGCCCAATAAAGCCCTGCACCAAGTGGCTCTGTGGCTGCTTTGGGGAGGGTGGGTTAAATTCCCCTAGGAATCGCTGCTGCCAGGACCCGTAGCTTCGCCCACGGGATGCCATCATCCAGCCCCAAAGCGATGTTTCCCCCAAACCGATGTTTCCCCCAACTCCATCTCCCAGCGCTGCAACAGCCGCACCCCAGCTCCTGGGTCCCTGCATGGCGGCGTGGCCAGTCCCGCCCAGCTCGGCCCTCCTCCTCCTCTTCCTCCTGGCAGAGGTTCAGCACCCGATTCACAAACCAGTTGGAGCCCTGCCCCAAGGAGGGACATGGGGAGAAGCCGGGATGGGTGAGATGGCAGCGGGCTCGCCGCTGCCTAGGGCTGGGGACGGCCGATCCCCCCCAGGACGGGCACCCAGCCTGCACCCCTCAGCTCCTCTGCAGACACGGAGGGACCCCAGGGAGTCCAGCCCCATGCAAGTCCGATTCTCTCAGTTCTCCGATTCTCTCAGTTCTCCGATTCTCGGGCATAACCCAAACCAGTTAAAAATCCACCAAATAAAGGGAAAGTCCCTCCATCCTTCCATCTGCCACGTGTTCGGCTTGTCCCGCCTCCCGTCCCCGACGGCTGCGTCACGGGAGCAGTTCACCCACTGCAGCCCAGGTCAGTCAGCGAACGGGAACCGTCCGACCCTTTCAAATGCGCTTCTCTGCAGGGACAGGGCCCACGGCCAGGGCTCACGCTGACCCCACGGCTCATAGGCAGAACCACCCCAGAGCACCAGGAGCTGCCGCGGGGCACGAGTCAGGCCAGGGGCAGGGAGCCTCCCTCCTCTCAGAGGCCTGGTTTCGAACCTTGGCTCCTGCCGAGTTCCCTTTAATCCCCGCAAGGCCCGAGAGCTGCTCTCCTCGCGCTCGCCCGTAGCGCGGTGTTTCCACAGGAAACTGCTCTTAGAAATCCACTTTATTTGGTCAAAGACGAGTCAGTGATGGAGAAGATGAAAACGCAGCACGCCCCTAAGCGACGCCGTACCTCTGCAAACACCGAGCAGCCACGGACCACGCTTGCCCCGTGGCTTCAAGCACCTGGATAGCACCTCTGAGCCAGCCCTGCGGAGTCAGCGGCCGCAGCTAACAGAGAGCAAGGCTGGATCAGCCCTGTACGGGCTGACAGGACGTACCTGAGCTCAAGAAGCTGCTGCAAAGCAGCACTGGGTTTCCCTCTTGTACCAGCGGCCCTCACCGCACAGCAGAAAGTGCCTGTTGGGGACCGAGGAGTCCGTGAGCCCCAGCTGGGTGGAGGGGGGCTGTTGTGGGATGCCCCCAGCACAGCGAGAAGCAGCAAGGCACCCTGCACGCTGGCAGGAGCGGTACTGGTCCCCAGCCCTGTCCTCCAGCCCCTGCTCCTGGCTTGGAGCCACCCAAAGAACCCTGGAGCGCTCTGGAAGCAGCACAGGACAGGGCACAGCCAGTCCCAGCTTTGCTTGGCTGCAGACAGGGCAAGAGTGGTTTTATCCCTTGGGAGAAGGAGGATCGTTCCACGGCTCAAGGCAACCCTGACAGCTCCCCCCGGTCACTTCCCTGGGCTGGATGGATCAGGAAAAAACAGAGGAAGAAGTGTAATCAGACGCGGGATCTGGGCAGGAGGAGGGAGCAGGACAGAGGGATACGTGACGTGGGCAACTGCTGCAGATGTTGCCCTGGTCCCCTCCGAGTCTGGACTGTGGGGACGAAGGGGAAGAGAGGAGATTGGAGCCCCTGCAGCAGCCGCGGGCATTTCCTGGTGACAAGAGAGAGCCAAGAGACCCCGGGGGTCTCTCCGGGGACCGTTGCAGTCAGTTGATGGGCTCGTACTCGGAGTACCGCTTCCTCTGGGCAAAGAGGACGACGCAGCTGCCCACCAGGAGCATCACCATGGGGGTGCCCAGCGCCACGGCCATGATGGAGATGACGAGGGGGGAGAAGGTGTCCTTGGGGGGCTGCCCGAAGCCCAGCAGTGCCGACCTGCAGGAGGGGATGGGAGAAATCAGCCACGGAGACGGGGATCAGCTGTGTCCCACAGGTGGAATATCTGGGGCTTCCTACCCCGATAGGGTCAGGTCAAGATTTCTTGGCAGGATCCCACATGGGGCAGGAGAGGGGAGGGGGGAGAGGATCATGGAATCGTTTAGCTTGGAAAAGCCCTTTAAGCTCATCGAGTCCAACCGTTAACCCAGCGCTGCCAAGGCCACCACTGAACCATGTCCCTGAGCACCACATCTCCCCGGCTTTTAAATCCCCCCAGGG